GCCCGTGGCGGGAGGGTGTTTACAGACAAGTGTGTTGACCGGGCTGGTGTTTCCTGCCCTCCCCTTTGCTGTTCCAGCCCGGGGGTGTTGCTGGGCGCTGCCACGGACCAGACTTCCCATGCGGGAGCAGAGGGACTATAAAGCGCAGCGTCTGCAGTATACTCCCCCCTCCACCCGGGAAGGGAGCGCGATCCCCGTCCACATTTGACAGGCGGGGCAAATGGAGGTACAGCCAGGCCGAGCGATTTGCTCTGCTCCTAGTGCAGGGGAATGGGCACAGAACCCCAGGCCGGTGGAGAAGGCACTGGACTTGATCGAGGGTCTGGACCCTGCACACCTGCAGGCCGAGTGGGGGAGTGGCACCGAACCCCCGGGCTTACCCCGTTCCAGCAGGTGGGACTGCAGGCGTTGGTCCCACATACCAACGTACAGCCAGGCCGAGCGATTTGCTCTGCTCCTAGTGCAGGGGAATGGGCACAGAACCCCAGGCCGGTGGAGAAGGCACTGGACTTGATCGAGGGTCTGGACCCTGCACACCTGCAGGCCGAGTGGGGGAGTGGCACCGAACCCCCGGGCTTACCCCGTTCCAGCAGGTGGGACTGCAGGCGTTGGTCCCACATACCAACAGCTTGTCCTCGAACTTGCCGATGAACGTCAGGTAGTTCTTCTTCTCCTCCTGGAAAAGCAAAACCACCCATGAGCGACGGCCGGTGCTCTGGTGAATCCCAGCAGCTCCGGGTCCAAGCGGAGGGGCCCTGAGAGCACCACCAGACTGGAAGAGATCTTAGGATCCTCCTGGAGATGAAATCCAGGAAGATCCATTGAGATTGTTCTAGACCAGCAGTTCCCAAACTTTTTGGCATCACGTCCCCTTTTTGATTTGTGCGAAACCCTCATGTCGCCCCACGTCTTCTTTACCATCAGCCACCCCCCTTTCACAAAAAAAACAATTCATAATTTTTTACGCTGATAAAAAAATTTTTTGGTTATGAAAATTTCTCAGCTTCGTGCCCCCCTTGGAATTTCTTCCCCCCCCCCCCTCTAGACCAACCTCTTGGCATAGCACAAGCCAGAGAATTTCACCTGAGAAGAATCAAGCCCCCTCTCCTCTAAGCTCCGTCAGGGGCTCTCAGACATGCCCCTGGCACAGAACCAACTTAATCTCCTAATTACACGTTCCCCGTATTCATCCAGTTTGCTGACTCCAGTTCTCCACCAGATCCGCCACCCTCAATTCTTCTGCTCCGCGTTCCCCGGCGTACGCCCTCTCCGGCTATGTCTACCCACCAGCGTTACTCTGAACTAACATAGACGCGTCGACACACAAGTGGCTATTTGAACACAATGGCGAAATAATGTCGAGCTGGAGGACTTCTTACTCCGATTCCCGTAACCCTCCTTGTACAAGGGGTAAGGGGAGTCGGGGGAAGAGTGCTCTATCTGGAAATAACTGTTGTGTAGACCTTGTACGAGGGGTAAGGGGAGTCGGGGGAAGAGCGCTCTATCTGGAAATAACTGTTGTGTAGACAGCGCAATTGGCAGCACTCAAGTTGTGTAGCTTACTCTGAGGTTAGCCCTGCTGTGTAGCCGTGCCCTAAGTGCCCATCCACGTTCTTTTTCCATGGCACCCTCCAGCGGAATGAAAAAGAAGCGCTAACAGAGCAGAGGTGAGCTAGGTGGGAAACACCCGATATTTCTCAGAGAACTAAATCCACCTGGCAAGCTCTCCAGACTTACTGGTTTTTGGCAGGCATCCGAATTCTTTGCAGGAAAGAGCTTCTGGAGAAAAGGAATACGCGTAGGTTAGTTCCGGCCTCTCTAAATAGCTGTGACAAAGCTCTGCGAGCCCACATGCCACCCACGGGCTGAGCCGGCCAGGAAGATGGGGGCTGTAAGTCTGGTCGGCTCCAATAATCAGCACTTTCCATATGGTTCCCATGTGGAAGTGCCTGTCGGAGGACTTGGGAGGCTGGGCCAGTTCAGGGGCATGTTTGGGAACTTGGGGTGGGTACATGGAGGTGGAAGTAGGGAGGCAGGTGGGCACAGGGCATGGCAGAAGGAACCAGGGCTCTAGTAGTCGGGTCAGTTCAGAGCCTAAAGCTCATTGGCCTCTATTATCTGTGATGTCACCTTTGTGACATCAGCATCACTAATGCGGTGGCCCAGCTGGTTGGCTCCCTGGACACAGCTGGGTAGGGGTGGGGGGATTGAGATACCTGCCGTCTCTTCGCTGCTTCACCCCTGACTTGGTGGAGAAGGCGGGCAAGTCGCTCGCCTGTCCTGTGCCTCTGTTCCCCCTTGGCGCAATGGGGAGAATGACGTCCCGGTGGGGTGGAGGGGGCCTAAGGCATGAAGCTCCAAGGGGTCTCCTTACCGTGTTGCGACTGGCTCTCTCAAAGTCGAAGGAGTAGAGCGTTCCCTCCGCTCCCACCAAGAGCAAGGAGGGCTTCTGGAGGTAGAGAGTTGTCAGACTCTCGTTCTTGTCCAGATGAAAGCGCTTCTCCCCTAGGAGACACAGCAAAGAGACTCAGCAGGCCATGAATCCAGCTGAGCCGTTGGGAGATTTGCACCCGCTCCCCACCAGGAACAAGGCGTGTGCACATGGATCAGCTGTTTGCCCTCTTGCCAGGAGTACAGAGAGAGAGGACAGATCAGACACACCAGCTCAGTGCTGCCACCTCTGGTGAACGGGCCAGCTAGTCACATGCTCGATTCAGGAGGCACCAATGCCCACGGCACGCCCCCCTGCACCACATGGCACTGCGGGGTGCAGTTACTTCTCGCCCGGCGCCTTCTGCCCACCCGCACCAGGCTGGAGAGCTCTCGCCAGCTCGCTCCTAGCTAGTGACACTGCAGACGCTGACACGCT